GAGAAGTGCGTGTCTAGCGAACAGTGTTCAAACGCTGGTTTCTTAATTATGACAAATGTCAACAAGAGGGACAGGGAGCACTCAACATTATCTTGTAACTTTCCTGTAAGTATATAACCATTTTAAAGGGAAAAGGTGATTAACATTTAATAGATTAACATACTGCTATATTGACTGTAACAGAGTTCCTCTGTATCAATCAATACATCTCTCCTTTTTCTCACACATATCTATCTGCCAAACCATATGGCACGAGTAACTTTCTTGAAACATAAGAATATTTCATCTTTAAAGCCAAATGTAGATAGACCCATTTTTGGAGTTTTAGATTCCCATTAATAGTTAGGTCATGCCCTCAATAATGTGCCACAAATGCTCAAAAGATAACGTCCAGGAACCCAGAGTTCTCAGTGGCTTTAACAGACCCTATATCTTTCAGTCACCTAACCATTACACTTACATTTCATGCAGCTCTTATTCAGGACATGCTCTCTGACAGCAGCATTCTGTGGGAGACTATGGAGGACAGCATTCACTTACTGATTGTTCTCATGTGAGGGAGAAGTCTGATGTACCATGGTTCTGAATGTACATGAATGATACTATTTCCTGACTATGCCTCACCTGTACAGTAGAATAAGAAATGAAGTCTCTGGGAACACACAGCATTTTTTCCCATAATGTTTTCAATTAACTATTTTCCTGGAGGGAGGATAAAAATTTGGCACCAACAATGTTTACTTTAAAAATTCTGTAGTTTCCTGGAATAGTTAATAAAAACTACATTTTTGTTTACATTTTAATTGTACAATTTAAAAAATTCAGTTAATCAGGGCTGGAGAGATGGCTCAGGGGTTAAGAGCACTGACTTCTCTTGCAGAGGACCTGGGTTCGATTCCCAGCACCCACATGGCTGCTAACAACCATCTGTAACTCCAATTCCAGGGGATCCGAAACCCTCTTCTGACCTCCAAGCACACTGCATGACACGAGTGCACTTACATACATGCAGGCAATACATTCATATACATAAAATAAAATAGTAAACTATTAGCCGGTCGTGGTGGTGCACACCTTTAATCCCAGCACCTGGGAGGCAGAGGCAGGTGGATCTCTGTGAGCTCAAGGCCAGCCTGGTCTACATAGTGAGTTCCAGGACAGCTGGGGCTACAGGGAGACCCTGTCTCAAAAATACCAAAAAAAAGTAAACTATTATTAAAAACAAAAAATGAAATAAAATTAAGTTAATCAAAATTTAACCAAAAAAAATTGGCTGTACTGTCTAACTCTTTTTTAAGGAAAGAATGTAAATGCCATTTAAGAAAGGTGGAAAAAAACACATGTGACTTCCTGAATATATATTAGGGCTAAAAAAATCAGATATTCTATATGTACAGTGATTTATAATAATAATATATTAAGGAGAGGGTCATGGTCTTTGATAACAAGTGTTCATTATAGAATTTTAGCTGAGGCAGAAAAGAAAGAGAACAGACTTTAGGAATATTTTTCATTAAACATTACTAAAGTATATGAAGTCTATAATTAATGTTGATAGTTCATTTTTATATTAGTCTTAAATAGTTTAGATAATATGAATTTATATTGTATTAGAATCCTGTATGTGTGTGTCCATGTGCTTGTGTGTCTGTGTGTGCTGTGCGTGTGTAATTAAATAGTAAGAACACTCCCTTTCCCAGAATACCAATAGTGTGTAAATCATTAGGCTGCTGAGCATTTAACAAACACCTTTTATTACCCAGCATAATTCTGGAAGTATGGAAAATTAGCATTTAACAAGTGGATAGCTTTAACAAGCTGGATAGCTTTAGTGTCAACTTGACACACCTGGGTTGAGGGAGCCTCAGTTGGGGAATTGCCTCTATTGGACTGGCCTGTGGCCATGTCTGAGGGGCATCTTCATGATGAGTGATGTGGAAGGGCCCAGCCCACTGTGGGTGGTGCCACCCCTGGGCAGGTGGGCCTGTGTTGCATAAGAAAGCAGGCTGAGCAGGGGCCAGGGAGCAAGCCAGAAAGCAGAGTTCCTCCATGGCCTGTGTTCCAGTTCCTGCCTCCATGTTCCTGCCCTGAGTTCCTACCTTGGGCTCCCTGATGAACTGCGACCTGGGAGTTGTAAGCTGAATAAACCCTTTCCTCCCCAAGTTTGTAGTGGTCAGAGTTTTTGTCACAGCAATGAAGAAACAAACCAGGACAACAAGTAAGGGAATGGAGGACATCAGAAGTTAGGGAACAGATTCAGTCTTTTAGCCTATATGAGAGTCATTACAAACTCTGGCTGCCTCCAATACCTCAACTCTTTCCTCCATAACCTACAGTTTATTATAATTTATCATAGAAGTAATGCTATTATTCAAGCAAATATTTATTATTAACTAGGTATTTTAAGCCATCTAATATTTCTAGGGCTTTGGGTAAAATGGAGTTGGCTGGTTTGATTTCTAACATTTCTTTCATTTTTAAAATAGTAGTACTGGGGATGGAGAGATAGCTTAGCAGTTAAGAACACTGGCTGCTCTTGAGAGGGCCAGGTTCGATTCTCAGCACCCACATGGTGGTAAACAACCATCCATAACTACAGTTCCAGGGGATCTGACACTCTCTTCTGACCTCCATGGGCATTGCATGACACAGGTGCACTTGCATACATACAGGTACTACATTCATCCACATTAAATAAATTAGAATGTTAGTGGGGCTGGAGAGATGGCTCAGTGGTTAAGAACGCTAGCTGTTCTTGCAGAAGACCTGGATTCGAATCCCAGAACCCACATGTCAGCTAACAACTGTCTTTAACTCCAGCTCCAGGGGATCTGACAGCCTCTTCTGTCCTCTGCAGGCATTGCACAACACAGGTGCACTTACACACATGCAAGCAATACATGCATACACATAAAATAAAAATAATTAAAATATTTTTTTAAAAAAATAAAAAAGGAATGCACTTGCCAGGTGTGGTGGTACATGCTTTAAGAAAAATTAAAAAAGAATTAAAAATAGTAATACTGACTTATATTCAAAAAATTTAAACTACCAGTTCACAGTGTTTTTGTTAAAAAGATATCATTATCACTGGTATTTACTAAATTTTGTAATAATGGAGATCTATGTAGCTGTTCATCCATTTTTCTCAAATCCTTCCAGTCCTATTAAGCCAGGAACAACAATCTTATAATTTTCAATGTGCCTAAAATTTACCCATAAAAAGAAATGGCATAATTTTTCTCTGCATTATAAAAACTATATACTTAACACTTTGTCTTTTACAGTATCTATAACTTACATTAAAATATGAATAGTGCAAAGAAAGCCATTTTTGTGGCTCTGAAAATAAGCAAATCATTTATTCCAATTCACATTTATTTAAATACATCAATTTTGGACAAACAGAAGTACTTATAAGCATACTTCTAACATGGTAGACATAAATATAAATGAAATGTGTAATTATACATAATTTCACATATGTCAGGCAAAACAACTATATGTTTACATTTAGTTTTAAAAATACATTAATATGGATAGTTTAAAAGGCTGTGCCTTCACAAAAAGTGCTAAGAATGATCACATTTGTATCAGTAATATTTCTTATACTGATAACTTATGAAACTATGTAAAGATGTAAGTTGTCATTAATCTCATATGGTCACATCAATTGTAAATGAAATACATTTTTGTTAGCAGAAATGTTCCTTTAATTTTAAATAACATAGCATTTTTATCAAGACCACACCACATTTATTAAATGAACATGCATAGCACATTAAAATCTGAATAATTCATGTATCTTAATGCACAGTGTTTAGTTTTCCTGATGCTCTTTGTGAAAAAATATACTTAAAACTTTGGCACAGAATTAATAAATCATATTATTAATAGTCGTCAAAAGAAATGTGACTTAAATTTTCCATGGAAGAGAAAATTCCTTATTACCTCTAACCCATTTCCTTTATAGTATCATGGACCAATGGCAGTTCTGCTCAGTTTTACTGGAAATAAATAATGGACATCTAAGAACTAAAAGTCGTATCTGGGTGTTTACCTATACTCTAATTGGAAAGGATTTGAATTGAGTATTTATAATAGTAAGGCATTTCCATCTGTATTGTGGCCTACAAATTTCTAAAGTCTATGAGCTGCAGTATTGATCATCATGAGGCTTTCTTTAGGAGGCAGAGGGGTTGAAAAGGAAATGTAGACCTTTTCACAAACCAGGAACTTACGTGATAAGGAAGGCGAACTTCAACTGAGGCAGGAGTAGGGAAACTTCTTCAAAAACTGGTCTATGCACACCCAGAAGGGACCAAAAGAGAACAACGACAGAACTCTGGAACTACTTCCAAGACCACGTGGGTCTAGGAAACTGAAGTGTGCCACTTTATGATCCTTTTGAATCAGCAAAGTATCACTAATGTTTAAGAGGCATTTCATATTTCCACATCAGTTTATATAAATTGACACTGAAAAAATTAGGTTAAGCAGAAGCTTTCTTCTGACCTCATTCATAAACACTGTGGATGAACTAAGGGAATAATTAAAAACTTCCTCTGACCCTGGGACTTCACACTTACTTAAGGCTCAGATTGCAGAGATGTGGTAATCAAGGACAAAGCCTCAGTTCTAAAGAGAAAGCACAGTGCTGAATCTTCAGAGACCAACTGAAGTACCCTACTCCATTCATAAAACCGTGATAGCTTCATGTTTATATCTATTATATCTATTATGTGGGGAAACAGAAGTGGACTGAAATTCAATTCTTATACAAATTTACTTTATTCACAATAATAAAACAACAAACATGATGCTATTTTATCTGCTTTATGATCCTTACTTGTCTGTGGACCTTCAGAGTCAAATGACAGAGACTATTGAAGAGGTTCAATAAAATAGGCAACCCCCCCTTTTTTTAAAGCTGTTTAGGTACTTAAAAAGACAAAGATTATGAATCAGAGAGCACTGAATTTTCAAGAGTGAAATCATACCAGAATCTTGACAAGTTGTCACTGACATCACAGGAGAGTAAATGGTCAGGAAGGTCGCTGATGGTGCCCTGTACTGCCAGTACATGTGGGGCCAAAGTAAAGGGTACATCACTCAGGAGCTCTGCCATTAGTGAGCTGTTCTCCAGAGTCTGGCCTGCTTGATTTTCCACCTCAGGGCTTGCTACAGTTACGCTGGATGAATTTTCTTTGACAGTCTAAAAATACACATACATTTAAAAAAACATTTAGACCATATGAACTGTGAGGTTTAGTAATGGTAAATATGGCATCAATACATCAAAAAGATTGGGAGATGTGTAATATATAAGTACCACCAAATTTAAATGCAAGTATTTACCCATTTGAGATACACGCACCCAAATGTCTGCTAGATTTAAAAACAATCCCTAAAGTCTGCTCTTGCTCAGAGTGGCCACCCATGGCTCCCTTAAACAAAAACACATTGCTGTTATTTCCCTAACCCAATGATGTCTACAGGGCCCTTTTTCTTTCACAAATCCTATGGATGCTTTCAGGCTCTGCTGATGAGTGTTCAGCTTACCTGTAAAATGTTACCTCAGAGTTCAAAGTGATCTTAGAACACTTATGAGGCAAACTGCCGGAGATATTATTAGGTATTTCCTACTGTGATCTTGCTAATTGCTATTCTAGATGCATAGATCTTACCTCCAAGTGGATGCTAAGACCCTTGAGGGTAAGTGATCTCTGACATATCTCTAGCCCACATCTTGCATGCTTGATTGCTCTATCTTGATACATACTTGAGGTTTACATTTAGCATGTACCATGAGTATGGGCTGGAGCCAACATGTTATAGTGCAAACACTCAAGTAACAATTGGTAGAACTTCTTTGAGTTCTTTAAAATTGGCATATCCTGTATATACTAGTCTATCAAAAGATAAGCACTAGGATATTTAGCAGTCTCCCTCATAAGCCTAAAACACAGAAACATCTAAATATTCATTAATAGCTGAATGGGCAAGAAATAAAAGTCTGTTTATAATGATAAAAACAAATGTCATTATAGAGCAGTTGAAATGTAGCTCAAATAATTTAAGAAAAAGCATTTTTTTTCTTACCCTTCAACCTTCCACAGAATAAATCTCATCTTTACAGAGATCTACCAGGCCTCTCTTGAACAGGCCTCAGTCCCTCATCCCCAGCTAGACTGCCCTGGCTCACTCCTCTGAAGTTCCACAGCCTCTCTACCTTGGCTCTTCACTCCCAGCTGTTTCTGTTCCAGGCCGTTTGCTTCTGTTCCCTCTGCCTAGGAGGCTCTTCTCTCAAATCTGCTTCTGTCCTCTCTGCTTCTGGGTCTGGGCCCGGATGCCACCTGCTGCATATAATCCTTCATCTCCACTCTGCATCCCCTGCCTCTCCTGTTTTTAACCCCTCTCTAGACCTTAGCACCTTGCCATATGCTTTGTGATTTGTTCAATTATCATCTCACAGAAGGAGATTTTTATGCTCATTGCTGTATTCCAAATGCTGTCATCAATGGCTAGTACTCAATAAATGTTTACTTAATGAATGGAAACAAACATGGAGCTTATTTCTAATGGCTACAAATGCTGACAGATTCTTTATAAACTAAGGAGACCAGTCATATATAGAGAAATAGCATTTTGTGAAACTTTTTATTGAAGTATACGATACATGTAGAAAAATATATCATAAATGTAGATTTGTAAAATTTTCACAAACTGAGCTCACATGAGCAGCTAGAACTTTTCAAGATACAGCAGAGATAGCATTCTTTTCTAGGCCCAATCAACTCCCTCAGTCACCATCCCAACTTCTAATACTGGTTTGACCTACATTTGAATATTCAAAGAACAGTATCATGCAGAATGAATGCCTTTGTTTTTGGCTTCTTTCAGTCAATATTATGTGTGTAGGACACATCCATCTTGTTACATGTTGGATGAAAAAAAGTCTTGAGGAACATGTTATTGCACAGGAGATATACTGACTGATATCTTAGAATCCACCTGGTTGCTATGTTGACAGTAGACACTGGGGGTTGGAGGGAGCCCAGTAAAGGAAGCAGGAAGATAGCTGAGAACAAAAGAGATGGTTATGCTGATAAGTTCATAATCAAAGGAAAAATGAATGATTGAATTTTGGATAGAGTTTGAATGTAAATCCAGCAGGACAGGAAGAGTGCTAGGAGCAGGTTTGGGCCGGAATATGAGTTCAGTGCTCTAGTCTTGTGGTGCCAAAGACATCAAGTGGAGTTGTTAGTAGGAGAGGATATGATTCCAGTCTGTAGGTCGATGAGATCTAACTGAGAAAGTGGGGGTAAACATGAGAAACGACCATTGTTTTCTAGGTATTAGACTGTAACTGGGCAGAGATATGAGCCAACAGTTGAAAAGGGACAAGGAGTCAAGAGAAGTTTCTTTTTACTTTTTTGTTTCCTTTTAAGTTGGAAGAAATAGTTGTAAGATTAGAAGAAAAAGGTTCATTAAAAAAAAATTCATGGAGGAGCAATAGAGAAGGAACTATTCTCTTCCCAAGGTAACCCCAACAGTCTAGATCAGGGCCCTCAAGAAATACTAGTTTAGTGAATGACCTGGAATTGATAAAGTTCAGGTGCATGTCTACCAATAGCTGTCTTATAATTTCATGAGAATTTTAATTCATGACTTTGTATGTGCTGCTTATCTATTAACAGTACTTCATTTAATCCTCACAACAATTCTACAAAATGGGTACATAGCACCAAAGTACTTTCTTAGAACTATAGTTAAAACAAATGTACTCCTACCCTATTATGGCAGATTATTATAAAGATATAAGTATGCAGGGCACAAGTTCTGTCTCTTCAACCTAACTGGTCCTCACAACACTAAGTATCCTTGGGTCAGCCAAATGCATAAGGGGCAGCAAAGAATGATAGCCATTCCAGCCAATTTAAAGGGCTTCACTATGTGCTGGCTTCTGCAGAAAAACAGAAAAAGAAGCAACATTTGGGTACACCACAAAACTCTCAAGACAACATATGCATCAGGGTTTAGGTTACCCATAAGCAACATGTCAAAAGCAGTTAAGAGGACAAATTCTAGAGCTGGACTGCTGGGGTACAAATCTTAATTCAATAAGCAAATGATCTTGGCCTATCTAACTTCTGTTTGCTTACCTGGAGTAGTCTTTTTCCTTTTCTCTTTTATTTCTTACCTTCTCTCTCAATCTCAGGAAAAAAAAGTCTTCCCTAAATCAGCTAGTCTTATTGCATATTCTAACCTCTCTTTTTTGCTTATTCACATGTTATTCGGTTCCATTTATTAAATCACCCCTTCGAAGAGCATTCTTGAAATCTCACCTTCACTACTACTGAGGAGATATATTACACATTAAAATTTTCCTTCCTAAACATAGAACTTGGAAGGCTTAATTCTCTAGTATCAGTATCTATTCTTTTGTTCATGCATTTACTAATCCTCTTTCCTTTCCTTTAAAAATTATTCTTATCTCACAAAACAGATTCTTTGAGGACAAGAATATGCCAAACCATATCGAGTACAGTAAAGGATTTGAGACATAGGGGCTTCTTGTTCAAGCTCTCCTAATAAAGCATCCATCTAACCCCAAGGAAATTGTTCCACATATCTGGGCTTCAGCACTATATTCTGTAAAATGAGTGATAAAAGATAAGAGATGATTATAATCGATAATGGTGACTGTGATGATGATGATGATGATGATAAAGAGTAACTAGCAGATATTGAACACAAACTTTGTGTCAGGGCCTATCTAAGCTGTTAAATGTATCCACTCACTGAAATCTGAGAACGGCCCTGCTGGATGTGCCCTATGTGAAGATGAGAGGTTGCTGACACAGAAAGGCTAAGGAAGATGTCTCAGTACAAGAACACTGACAGTGATGAAAAAGAATCAAATCCAATGATCTCTTACTATTCTATGTTCTGTGAGCCAACACATTCAGATATGCTCTGGAAAAATGGACCAAATAAACAAAGCCTTCAAAGTTTATGAGATAATACCAGAAAAAAACAACAATCACTAAAATAGCACATGCTGGCTTAATTTAAGAGGAAAACAAAGATTCTAACGTCTTTTATTGTTAGGAAGAAAGGACTGAAAAACATCTTGGAAGACAGACTGAAAAGAGATAGAAAGGCAACTGTAATTTAAGATAAACTTATGCTAGATAAAACCATGGGAAAAAACAGGGACAGTGAAAGATCACTGAGCTGATGATTGCTGAGGCAGATAGGAACGTATGTGGGAACTCAACACTACAGTATTCTTTTTTCTTTGCATACGTTTGAAAATGTTCCAAAAATCAAAGTTTTTAAGTTTTTATTTAGTTAAAAAATACCATCGACACAGTGTTCTACCAAATGTCTCCTAGAATGATCTGAATTTCAGCTGTGTTATATGTATGACTCCAGCTTCTATCTCTTAACAGTTGGCTTAATACAATGTTACAGTCTCCAAGGAGGCTGCCTGCCCTCTTGGCAGCAGGGTGAGTGCCATGATGCAGCTGCTGTTGGCATGCTGAGAGCTGGAAGGGGAAAAGTTATAAGGCAAAACAAGAGTAAGTTACAAAGAAAATGAGAGTCAAAATTCAAGGGCTCCATACCAGCTACAGTGGATCATTAAGTCTCTAGCTTGGCATCCAAGGAAGCAGAGGTGAAGGCTGAGGGCTAGGACAGGTGCACTGATTTCCCTGTGGAAAGCAGCTCTCTTTCTTAGACGTGTCTTGTGATTTTTTTTATTTGCATAATAAAATGGGTCTTTAACAGGAAGAATTAGTGTGTTAACCACAATGGAGCAGAAGAATCAATTAACCTTTTGGTTCATAGCCAAATTTTAGAAAATCACTTCAAATATTATGTTCATAAGGCATACTTGTTATGTTTTGTGATTAATGTTCACAGAAATGGTGCTGGGATCATGATTCTGACCACAAGTTCCTTCATATAATCTAGCTTTAGTATTTCTTTTCAAAATAGTATTTCCCCTTATATGGTTTGAGTACAGCATGCCAGGCTTTGTTTTTCATCACAAAGAGAAAATTAATGCCTATATCTACATCATTACAACAACAATTACAGCTTGCTGTTTTGTTTGAATAAAAGCAGTTCCTTGGCCAACAGTTAACCTGTTTAAAAAATGACTTGCCATATTTATTTAGAGTTCCTTACATCAGAAAGTTTTATAGG